AAGCTAAAAAAATAAATTTGAACTTACTTTTCACATTTTGTAAGAATAAGCTCTGTTTGCAATGCCTCAAATTAGGGTAGAAACATGTAACTGCTGTTTATTAGCATTGGCAGTATTTTCTCATAACTGAAAAGAATAATGAGGTCCTTTAGGATGATAATTAGCTCCCTAGGTCATGTTGTTTAAAAAGTGTTGAAACAGCAGTCTGTGTGAAACTTCCTCTGGTAGAGACACTTCTTAAATAAAGCTATTTGAAAGTGTGGTGGATACTGCACTGCTTTAACATCAGCCCTTGGGATATTGGGTAAAATGTCCCTGCAGCAAGAGTGCCTCCTTAACAATGTATAGAGGTCTGTGTATTAGCCAATGTAATTCCCTGGAATTGGGGCAACAGGACTCTAAAATACAAGAAGAATCTCAATGATGTGGCATCTTACTTTTCATATTTTAAAATATTTTTTCATTGCCTATCATGTATAATTAAGAGAGATTCTTCTTTATACTTCCATACCCGGTTAGTTCTTCTGACCAGATCCTTTCCTGATATATTTATTCCTTACATGACAAAATATGGAGATGGTAGAAAAAAGAGAAGAATGTAGAGCTAGTGTTGATGTAACCCCTACCTTCAATCTGAAGATTTTTAGAAGAGATGCTAAAGGGGGCAAAGGGGATGCTGAGAGAAAGAAGATTATGGAGTAGTTTAAAAAGGCTATGAGATTTATAAAGAGAAAGAAGGACAAGTAGAGGAAAAATAATCTCTTTTGAAATGGGAAGACAAGGGTGAAGAGTGAAGAATTGCATGGAAACAATAAAAAGGGGGAAAGATGGGCCGTGGTGGTGCAAGTAAAAGGAAGGTGAAAAGGCAAAAGTCACAAGAAGGGGAATAGCAAACAGTATACATACTAGGTGATAAGGCACCCAGTTTTTTTCTATGGAAATTATTTATGAACCTTAAAATGCATTACACTGAGTTTTTACCAGATTAGAAGAAGGTTCAGTTATACGTGTGGAAAGTAAAAGTAAGAATTAAGAGCTGGATTAATCAGTTTTGGTGAACTGAGTGGCATTCTCCTAAGGAGTCTTATGTCTTGGTTTCTAAAGGCAGAGCATATTGTTTAGTGTTTTAACATCAGAGTTAGATGACGTAACTTGGCCTTATGTATCTCAGTCTCTTCAATTTCACCAGTGATACTGCACTAATCCCTTTAGCTTTTTTTAATTTTTTTTCTTTTTGTGAAAATTTAGCTTCCAGAAATGCATCTAGTCTCATTCCAAAGACTCCAAATGATGGGAGAACCATCGTTCTCTTGTTGATAGTGATGCTTACAACCTGCTTGTGGACTTGCTTGTGACCCTGTTGTCAAGCTGTGATTGACTTCAGAATGTTCGTTTGTGTTGTGTAGATGGGATCAGCTAACCCTGTCTTTGTAACTAATTATCCACTATTCCCAAGTCCCAGCACAATACAATTTTCACTGTGGCAAGTGAAAATCATTCATGAACTTTTGCCTGCCTGAGCTAATTATATACAGCAGCTGAGCTCCCCAAGCTGTTTTCTTTAATAATAGAATTTCTGTATATTGTACTTAAGGTGGTTATGTTGGCCTTTACTATGGAATTATTTAATATAAGGATAAAAAAAAACCCTGCAAAAATATTTTTTGTTTGTTTTTCTTAAGAAACCACCTGCAATTGCTGTTCGACCTGGATCAACACTAATACCAATTAATAATATTAATCATCTCCCTGAACGTGATGATGATTATGGATATGAGTGCCTAGAAGGGAAAGACTGTGCCAGCTTCTTTTGTTGTTTTGAAGACTGCCGCACAGGATCTTGGAGAGAAGGAAGAATACACATCCGTATTGCAAAAATTGACTCCTATTCTCGAATCTTCTTTCCAACTGCCTTTGCATTGTTCAATCTTGTTTACTGGATCGGTTATCTTTATCTATAAATTTCAGAGGTTTGACAAACTCAGAAAAAAATGCTAATTGAACAGTCGTTAACACTTTTCAGTGAGCAGTCAAAGATTAAATCTGATCCAAAATGAGTCAAAAAATTTGAAACAATGAGAGGAAATATGGTGATGTAGTCTCCCTCTTGTGATCAACTATAGAACTGATACTGGATTTTGAAGTGAAAATTTAAAGATTTAACTTGCCTGAACACGCACATATTTTTGTCCAGCTCTGACAAAATGCAGAGTCAAGAGGCTACGTTATTAAACTGGACAGTTCTACATATGTTTTCAATTTTAATCCTAAATGAGAATGCAGATGAATTTTATAGCATCTCTTACACCTTTACAAAGAAAGCCTTAATAAAATGAGATTAGTTATTCTCATCCATTTCATCTATAAGGTGATGATTTTATTAATCCCTGATTTTAAAAAGTTGAAATGGAACATTTCTCGTTTTCAACCTGCCTTTTTTTCTCTGCAGTATGTCAAAAAGAGTGATTAAATCATGATTAATCACATTCAAATTTATACGGAATGTAGAGATTAGAGCAACAAGAAATGGATATATCACAAAAACCCCAAGGGTAATTCTGAGCTTGTCTTATCCTGACCATTGGTACAGGCTTTTGGCTTTCAACCTTAGATTACATTTATGTCTGTACTCCTTCTGTTGTTACTTCACTGTTGTGAGTTCCCTGAAGTTCTCCAAGAGGGCTACAGCTTTCAAAAATTCCTACCCAGCTACCGTTGCTTGCTCATTTCATGGAAACCGTACTGATGTTGGCTCAGATTCTAGACATTAAGCATAATGCTCTTCACATCATCCCCGTTCCCCTCTCCTTTGTCTGATTCATACTCAGGGCCAAACTAAAAGTCACCTCTACATTCAGTAGAATTTGTATCATCAGAGTTTGGAAAACCTGTAACAGTGCTACAGTCATTATATTCGAAGCCACTATGTTAAATTTCCAGACCAAAAAGTGTAGTGTGTAACCTGCTCCCTTTACATACAGTACGATTTTGTAGATTTTGCTTGGTACTGCATATGCTACTCACTTAGCCAAAGCCAAGTGGTATGAATTTACTGAACATGTGTTACAGATTGCTGTGTAATTATTGCCTCGATATTTGTTTCTTTCTAACTGAACAGCCCTGTTACTGGGGATGGGGAGGGGGGAAGGTGGTGGGTGGTTCTAAAATAATACTTATGTATTGTAAATCCTTCTCCATGGTGGGATGTATTCCCTCGAAAAAAACATGGGACCAATTCTCCAGCCTTTCTGTGGTCAGAGCTTCTGTTCACTTTGGTAGCAATTCTTCAGAAGTAGCCTTTCTGGACTGACTGCTCTGTGTTGACTATTACTGGCTGGCAGCATTTAGTATCTCATTTCTATTTTTAAATCCATTGTCTTCATTATGGAAAAGTGTGGTCTTTCCTCCTTTCTCAAAAAGAAACTGGTCTCAAGTGAGCTTGCAAAAATCACTGTAAAATTAAGATGTGCATTAAGTAAAAGTCAGAATTACACAGAAGACCTTACAGATCTTTAAAGAGGATTAATAGGATTAGCATTTGGCTGTAGGTACGGATGTTCAGTACTGCTGATAAAGACATGATTAATGGCTAATAATAGAAAATGATATATGAAGGACCCTCCCCCTCACTCCCCAATTTTTCTGTTGAATGTGCTCCCTCCTCTGAATTTTTCAGAAAAGATTAATGTATTTTTATATTCTGGTTGGTACCAGGCATAATTAGATATGATATGCAATACACATTTCAGATGAAATGTTATTACAGTGTTCAGCCCCAAAGTTTAATAGAGAATGCAAGACTATATGCAGTGATTCTGGAAAAAAAGTGTGACAGAGAAGATGCCATTTTAATGCAAACTTTATATCCGTATTTAGCTGATGAAATATGAAAGTGATTGAGAGAATTTGAAAGCCTGCAGTCAAGGTTGGCTGACATTATTTGTTGCATGACCTTTCTGAGCACCAGCTTCTTCTGACTGTTAGACTGAGAGCAGAAGTGTGGCATCATTAACAACACTGATCTACTATAATTTATTGTTTCTTTAGAGTCTCGTTTTCAGAACATGTTCAGTACAATGGAAATATGTCAGTTTTAATTCCATAGTACAGTTTGATGCTTTTTTTGACAGCACACTAAACACATTCCTCTGTAGGAGGAATGAAGGTGGTTTCAGCAGCAGTGTGTTGAATGTGTATTTGAAAAGCAGCCTACTTGCTGTACAATACAAAGCCCAGATTTTGTGAGCTCCTGAGTTTCATTAATTCACCTTTAAACAAAAGCAACTTAAAAGAATTTGGCACTTCACAAGAGGAAGTACAAATTTTACAGCCTGCTTTCCTCTGGCACATCTAGTTAGCTTTTTCTATTCATGTGGGTGTCAGTTGCCAATCAGCCTCCAGTGACTGAATTAGAGAACAGAAAACATCCAGAATTGGCAAGGGATGGATAAGAAGTCTTTCATCTCTAATTTCTATGAAACAATGTAATGGAGTATTAAGCCTATTGAATGTTATGGCTGTTTGGCTTATGGATACACTTGCTTCTGTCTGTTGACAAACTTTTCTGTGTACTTCGTTTGTTTCTGATGAAATAATTTTAGTTTCCCATAGTACTGTGAGTGCAAATAGAAATGGGAATGCAGTGAACTGTAACATGGCATGTAATAAATGTGTTATTTTAGTCTTACGTGTTTTCTTTCTAACCTGCATGTAAACACTCGATTCCAAGAAATTTAAGTGATACTAAAAAAAAAAAAAAAAAAAAAAAAAAAAAAAAAAAAAAAAAAACTTATTTGCACTTAGTGAGCAATAAAAAAAAAAAAAAAAAAAAAAAAAAAAAGCCAAGAAACAGTTACTTGGACTTAGATGGTGCAATCATTTTTTCAAAGCTACCTAGCTAGCTGGGATAATGGTATTTGGAGTCATTCTGACCATTACTGCTTAAGCAGATGCTTAAACCCATTCCTAATCAGTACTGTAATTAGACCAGAATTCAGAAAAGTGTGTGCTTATGTACTGTCATAAAGAGTGATGCTATCCTGAATTGATGCCATTAACACATGCTTAATTTGCACTAATTTCAATAATGAGCGTTCAGTAGCTCAAATGATTGAACATAAAGGATGTAAGCCAGAGACTCTTCAGTAAGCAGTTTTCTCACTGAAAGAGGGGGACATAGAAGAAGAAATTGCCATAAAGGCATAGAGGTGAAAAAATCTGGGGAAACTGTTTTATACTGTACCTATCTTAGGCATCTCCTGAAAAGTATTTTTCAAAAAGAAGACTCTTCCTTGATATTTCTGTATTAGTGTTCAACACTTGTCTATTTAGTAGTGAGTACAGACCAATGTGTTTGGTAAGGTTTTGTCTGTGATTGTACCTCACTGATCTTCAGTGCATGTCTTCCGTGTCTGAATGAATCTGTTTTATGTAGTGGTAGTGCAACCAAAGCATGAGCTCTAGGTAAGGTACATGTTGATTTGCTTCAAAGACTTTAACCTTATATAGTTTTCTGGCATTCAGAGACATAGGATTGTGTAAGACTTTGAAGAATCACCTCCAACATGTTTTTTTATAATTTTTTGTTGCTCATTTGCTGAGATAGTAAAAGATTTATTTAAAATTGATATATGAACTGTGCTTTGTAATTTGTGACCACCTTTGATCTTTCAATTGAAAACTCAGCAGGAGGAGTCTGGATTTGCATATCTATCTGCCTAAAATAGAATCATAGAATCATTTGGGTTGGAAAAAACCTTTGAGGTCATCAAGTCAAACCATAAGGGGGTTTGCGGTAAGTGCAAATACATGTAATTTAAATGTTTTAAAATAATTATTAATACTTTTCTAAAAATTCATTGTGTTTTCTCTTAGTGATACATTAAATGTGTTGCTTTATGTTTGTGAAATAATACTGTAGTTATAGGTATTGTGATAGATATAGAAAGTAGAAACTAACGTAGAATTCCTCAGCTAAAGAATACAAGGCCAGGAATTAGAAAGAATTACTGTGCTTCTGTTCCTCAAAAAACCCCAGTGACTGTCCACATGCCCCAAAGAATGTGCTGTGGGGAGATTGTCTCAAAGGGAGAGGCAGAATATTCTCCAGGCTATAGAAGAGGCCTCATGCCATGGCCTTTGTACCTATAATTCAAGTCAACGAAAGGGATAGATCTGTCCTTTCTTATTCAGTCTTCTCTTGCTTCTGTTTTACTTGTGCCAGCAGTCAGTTATAAAGCTGTGTTGTCAGATGAATAAAAATCTGAAAAATTATCTTTATTTTAATCTTTTGTAAGTTAATGTTTTAACCAGATGAGTTGGATCATCTGACTGAAAATCCAAGCCTATGACCAAGTTCTGTGACCTGTCCAAGACAGGTGATGGGAGCTTGCACCTGGAATCAAAAGGATGTTTTCCTATGTTGGGCATATTTTGTTCTGTTGAGAATCTGCACTGAAAGCTGGTGTGAGGGAAGGGGAAAGACTGGAAGGAAAAATCACTTGAGGCAATGATTCCAGAATCCAGTTCATTGGATCTTAGTGACTTGTATTTAGTTAATAGGTTTCTCCCTGGTATTTGTGGTAATGCTCTCGATTTCCCTGCAGCATAATTAAATCTGTTTTGCTTTCAGTAAAAAAAAAAAAAAGCCTGTGCATTTCCTATACGTTAATTAAACACTGAATGAGCAATAGTTATCTTGGGTGATCATTCTGGTGAAATGTCAGACAGAAAATTGGAAATTAGGTTAAATCAGGATAAAAGTTATCTTTTTGCTCCTTTATTATTAATGATTATAACTATTTTTAAAATTACTGAGTATTAATTAGTAGGATAGACACTGGGAAAGAGCTAGTACACAGGTGTCTACATCACTGTTGGTCCCCTTGAGGGCTAAAATATTTTGGAATGGAAACCTGACCCAGACTGCAGTCAATCATTGAGTCCCTCTCACCTTCAGGGA